GAGAGTCTATTTATAACGCAGCTCATTGCAAATTAGTGGGATGGTTTTTGTTATGCGTTTTTGTAATTGCATTTAATATTATCTATGTACTTGTGAAAAGGGTTGCATAATTGCTTGAACGCTTTTGAGCTATAATCATAACAAACTTAAGATTCCGGAAGGAAAATTGTTATAAAAAATTACTAAGTTTTCTAAAATTTCAAAATTTGAGCTCGCTATATCCAGAGTCAAATATACTATTTAATTTGAAAACTTATCAAACCCCAATGAAAGAAATTTATTAGAATCATACTAATTCTAATTCAGATGATGCCGAATTTTATTCGATTTTATATGTCATTCCCCAAAACCTTGAGGATCTTGCAGAGGAGTGTCATTCAATCATTTTTTGTATCTGCTAAATCATGTAAAACCTTAATACAAAAATCAAAGTTTTACGTCGACTATTTGTTGCTAATATATTTGTAAAGAAATTCATCGAATGCATTATGAAGCACAAATAGATAATCGAAATTCGATCATCAGTTTGCAAAGAACGAAAAAGTGAAATAAAAACAAGTACAGTATAAAAATTATATTTTATCTTGACAATTTATCACAACGATAGATGTAATTTATTTAACTACCATTACACCAATCGCTTAAGCATTTATTGCAGTATTGAATTTTAAAATCAACTTAAAATGTTATTAAATTTATCAATTATTACAGTATCCAATTTAGAATCAACTTAAGTTGCTTTTAAATTCGTACAAACTTGAGCTACATTTGGAATTCCATTCCAACCTAAGTTGATTCTAAATCTACAATAATTCCGTTCTGACGTACAACATATATATAACTGGGTTGGTTGGTGCATTGTTATAATAGTAGAGATGCAAATCGGCTCATCGGCTCTATTGATTAATCGGTTTTTATTCTACTGAATATACAAGCCGATCAAGCCGTTTTGCATCACTATATGCTAAAATCATTACAAAAAGTATATATTAGTTAAATTTCAAATAAATAAATAAATAAATAAATAAATAAAAAATACTTATCTAAGTAAACGATGATTGCCAATCTAAAAGATAATTGGCGATCATATAGTGATCGCGACGCGACCCAAAAAAAGTTGATCAAGTGATAAGGAAGATAAATAACTGATTTCCCTCCTTGTTGGAAATCAGTAAACCTTATCAAAGAAAAAATTCTTAATATATGTTTATAAATAAATGATTATATAGGTCATTAGCCATTATTGCCTGACACGAAAGGCGCCTACTTAGTGTTTAGTTACAGTTCGGCGCAAACCACTATATAATCGAAATACAAATAACGTACATTATCTTGATCAAAAATAAATAAATAAATTAAAAAAAAAATAAAATAAGAACAAAAATAGATAAAAAAACAAATAAATAAAAAAATTAAAAAAAATACAAATAACGAAAAAAAAAACAAAAAGGCAAAAAAAATAAAAAACAAACGGACAAAATAAAAAAGCAAACAGAAAAGAAGAAAAGATACAAATAACGAAAAATAAAAAAAAAGGTAAAAAAAAATAAATAAGTTAAAGAAAACGGTAAAGAAAAAAAATATATATATAAAAAAGAAAGAAAAAAAAAATATATATATACATATAAAAAAGAAAATAAAAAAAAAGAAAGAATAAAAAAAAAAGATATAGCGATAACTATTTACATGTTTGTTTTGATCTATATTGCTAAATGAACAGTTGTTTACTAGTTTCTGATCTGGCCAATCAGAATGCAAGATCAGATATAACATGAAGATCAAGCATTTACCACCAATTTAGGTATGGTGGACCCAGTCTATAAACAACTACCCCAGTGGCACCGACAGATTTTCACTGATCAACAACGATTGACCAATTAGATTACAAGATCAGGCGTAATGTGAAATCAAAACAAAAAACAAAAAAAACTGCCATAACTCAAAATTTGTCTATGTAATCACCTTCTGCGCATTAGTAAAAAAATTTCTTTGCAAAATTTTAGTATAAAACAAGCCTCATTATTATTGTAAACCTGACCTTAATGTATTGTTTTATGACTTTAAAAAAATTGTCAATAAGTGAAAATCCATCGGTGCCATGTACGTACGTACGCCCAAAAGGTAAAATGCGATTGTTGTTTTGATCTTCACGTTATACCTGATCTTGCATTCTGATTGACCAGATCAGAAACTTGAGGAAATTAGTAAACGCGTTTTGCGCGGCATTTACTAATTCGCCACCAAAAAAAGTTTCAAGTAAAATTTCATTTTTTTAGATTAGGGTTGGATTTTGCCATTAGATTGTGTCTAAAGACATTTTTTATAGCAAAATTTTACAAGAAAAACTTTTAATTAATGCGCAGAAGGCAGTTTCATAGACTAACTTTGGATTATAAGCAATTTTTGACTAGGGTAGTGATTTTACCCCTCACGCGATGTTACATGAATATGCAACAATTTTTTTTTAAATATATAAGATCTATCACTATGTACGTATAAAAAAAATGTCTTCTTTCATTGTTACTGAATCTCAAAGGAAAATCTATCCTCCACCAAGGTATTGGTATTTGGATCCTGTTTATCGAACAAATGTAAAACTATTTATTTAAGAAATAAACAAAGCTGTTAAGAGGATTCAGTTTACGGAAGGTTTGTTTAACATTTTTGTGCCAAGTGCTTTATTAATTATATGAAGATTTAATAGACTTTTCTTGTTTATACGTAGGCTCCAGAACCGTCCAGAGCTTTTTTATTTAAAATCATCCAATTAAAAAGGTTGAAATAATTGCGCCAATAACCTGTATAGAAATTACAAGTTATAAAATTATTAAATATACACGTATGTAAGATGGGCTTGTGAATATTACTTTATATATATTCGCGTTGCTTATAAGAAATTATTATTTAAGTTGATGATGTGTCAGGTCTGATCGAGTGTATAAATTTTGGAGAAGGAGGAGAAGATGATAATCAGTACTTAAGCGATCCAAGGTTCGATGTCGGAACACTTGTTAAGGTTATTAGAAGAATAAACGAGTATCATAGAAAAAGGGAAATTATTTTTAACACAGGGGAAATATGTAATTATAATTTTTTTTTTTTTTTTATCAAGTTTGTTTATTTATCTTTTTTATGTTTTTAGATATGATAAAAGACCCTAACGTAGAGTTACTTCGATCGTATGAAATTATAAAACTAGTAGAGGACGTTTATTGTAAACCATTTGTTCTATCTAAAAAAGCAAATAATGAGGTATTTATAAAAAATATTTTTTTTTAACACGTGTATATTTATTTATCTACATATAAATATTTGAATAGGTGACACCACTTATGATACTGACATCAGAAAGATTGGATGAAAATAATGCGGAATTGATTGATAATAAAGAATCGAATGAAGATATGTCAACATCAAGCTCTCGAATTTTTGAATGAATGAACATTTTGGAAGATCCATCGCAAATAACAGAAGATATGTTTATTAATTCAATTATGCGATATATTTACGAAAATCATTTAATTAAATTTAGTATAGTAAGAATAGTACAGTCACCTAAATTAGTTGATTTCACTAAGGAAGTTATTCATGTAAGTTAATGTATATTTATTATATGTATTCTACATTTACATAAATATTCTTTTTAACATTTGATATTTTTAGTATCAAGGTTCCACATCTAACGTTCAACCAGTAACTACATTATTTACTAATGCTTTGAAAGTGTTGGTATATGAAGGATTTTTGAATCGTGCAGATGAAATATCTTATTATATTAATCCACGATTTGTAAATATGGTGAAAGAATAGGAAAATGTATGAATTAAAATATGTATAAAGATTAATTTGCAATAAATCTTCACAAACTTAAATTGCTTATACATAGTGTTTAATGCAGGTGCATTATTTGGTCAATTTTTAATGACCTACTTAAATCTAAGTATACCTTTGCTAAATGAATTATTGATGTTCGTCATCAAATTTCGTGATTAATAGGTGTTTTAGAGTTATCATTCATTATTCAGAATTAAAAAAAAAAGGATCCAACCTGATTCTTGAAATCCTGAAATGCAAAACGAAAAACTAACTTTGTGTGGCTTAATAGCTTTACTTCTCTAAACGACCATATACGACGTTCTGGCTCCCACTTCAGAACGAACACGATTTATAATATCACAAGGCCGAAGTATTGCTATATCTTTAACTAATGGCACGGTAAACTTTACAAGGTATGATCCATGTGCTTTAAATGCTTCATAGAAGTTAAACATGGGAATCAGACTTACTATTGGATGTAGTCATCTTTGCATTTGTTAGCTGAAATAGTAAAAGGACATGAACTGGTTTTATTTGTAAAACAAATAGCCAATATTCGGAACATGTAAGGAGAAGAGAATTCAACTGAATAAACGTTCAGAGTCGAATGAACATTTTCATGTTAGTAAAAACTATACTGATCTGTAATTTTGTATTTGACATGGTGTTCGGTTTTTAAGAAATATATCAAGAATTTTAATGAAATAAGTTTATAGCGCAAATAATGGGTGGACGAATCGAATGTATATTTTTTATTATGCATTTGAATTTATATTCAAATTACTAATAGATTATTATTACATTAACAATTAATGACTATATTACAATCATATTTAAATCATTGAAACGGGTTAAATCATAGGTTCTTAAACGCATAATTATTTTGGGTCTTATCTGTAATAATTTTAAATATCGGGCCTCTTCCTATAATTATTTTCATTTTGGCCCTTATTTTCGTTTTTAGGCCCTTATACGTATCGATCACATCTTACGTAGTTTGTGGCTTTAAGTTGAAATTCTTTAATGTAATCATCGACATTTTTATTTCTACTTGTCCATTCTTTTGTTGTTTTTTTAGGTCCTTTGATTGCAAAAAAAATCTTTGAATATGTAGACATAAATCATAAATATACAATATTAATTAAGCACACATATATAAATAATAAATTAAAATATAACTCAATCTAAACTCTACATGATTCTCACCTTGCTAAAAATCTATTACTAATTTGTTGAACTTTAACTAACTTACTACTGGTAAAAAGAATCCATTCGATTGCATCTTCATATTTTGAATTGAAATTCTTCAATGCAATCATCGATATCTTATATCCATTTGTCTATCCTTGTATAGCTTTTTGAGGATCACATGTTTTACACCAAGCTGGCGATGTATTATATCGGTTGCAATCTGTATATGCTTTGTTAAACGCAATCCAATACATAAACACTTGTCTCAGTGTATTGGGTCAGCCTATATATTATATATTGGTTGTAAGAATCTTTGAGCTTATAAATATAAATTATAAATGCACAGTATTAATCAAGCACACATATAAATAATAAATCAACAATATAACTTACTCAAAAATCTAAGCTCCACTTTACATGATTCTGTACGTAATTGTGTAGATTCATCATAATTCACAATGTATTTCGTCTAATCACTAATCTATTCGATTGCGTCTTCATATTTTGGTTTAAGTTAAAATTCTTCAATAAAATCATCGACATCTTTATTTCTACTTGACCATCCTTGTGTTGTTTCCTGAGGATCAAATGTTTGACACTAAGCTGAAGATGTGTTATGTCGGTTGCAATTTGCATATTTTCCACAATATATATCTACGTATCTTAAATTTACTGCCCTTTGGTTGCAAAAAAAAACCTTTGAGCATATAGATATAAATCATAAATGCACAATATTAATCAAGCACACATGTATATATAATAAATTAAATATAACTCAACCTAAACTCTACATGATTCTGTACATGATTGTATAAATTCGTGATTCACGTACGTATTCCATCTAACCACCTTACTAAGAATCTATCACTAATTTGTTGAACTTTAACTAACTTACTACCAGTAAAAGGAATCTATTAATCTATTCGATTGTACCTTCATATTTTGTAGCTTTGAGTTGAAATTCTTCATCATCTTATTTTCACTTGTCCTTCCCTGTGAAGATCACATAGTCTACACCAAGCTGGCAATGTGTTATATCATTTGTAATTTATACAATCTCCGTTAAACACAATCCAATATATATATATACACTTGTCTCGTGCCTTGGATTAACCTATATACTATACTTTGGTTATAAGAAATCTTTGAATTTATAAATATAAATTATAAATACACAACATTAATCAAGCACACGTGTATAAATAATAAATCAAAAATATAACTTACTCAAAAACCTAAGCTCCACTTTATATGATTCTATATGTAATTGTGTAAATTCGTCGTAAATCACATAAATACAATCCAACCAGCTTGCTAAAAATCTTTTAAACGTTAATTAGTATATTAAAAGGAATTCATTAATCTATTCGATTGCATCTTCATATTTTGTAGCTTTGAGCTGAAATGCATTAATGCATCAACATTTTTATTTCTACTTCCATCTGTGTGTCATTTACTGAGGATTACATATTTGACATTAAGCTAGCAATGTTGGCAAATTTGCACATTCTCTGTCAAACGCACTCTAATACTGTATATACATCTTTGAACTTATAAATATCTGTGAAAATCAGAAATACCAATATAATAACGCAAAGAGGAGAGTTAAATTATTCTCTCTAAAATCTACTTCAGAATTCCATCAAAAATTAAAAATTTGGGCTGCGAAAAATTGTCTAATGATTGAGATTTTAGAGTAAGCAGTAGCGTTATGAGAAAAACAACAAAAAAAGGACTAGCAAAACCAGAAGCAAAAAAGTAAATGTTCAACCTGCCGCTTTAAAGAAGTAGCACCTAGTCCGAATAAGAAATGACCATTTGAGGATGAGGAAACAGAAACGAAAAATGATGGTTTGAAAAAGAGAAAGGTCAGTTTTTATGAATTACAAATGCACAATATTAATCAAGCACACAAATTAATAATAAATCAAAATACACTTACTCGAAAATCCAAGCACCACTTTACATGATTCTGTATGTTATAAATTCATAGTAATTTATATGAATATTTTATCTAACCAGCTTGTTCAAAGTCTATCACAAATATTAACTAACCTATTAAAAGAAATCCAATTGTTCATTCGCACTATTTTTTTGAGGATCACATGTCTAACACAAATATCAAACGATTACAATTTGCACAATTCCTGTGTTACTTCTTTTTTTTAGAACAGGCTTTGTGGCAACATATATTCATTTTTTGTAATATCATGAGTTCAGTCCATATATTTTAAAATCTCTATTCTTTAACCGTACGCGATCTATAAATAAACTTATTAAATATTTAAATATACATTTTATATACTGTATTTACCATGTGTTTAGCTCCGGTTTTTTGACCTGAAAGAATAGGCGCCTGCTAGTGTACTATATTTCTTAACTTCTAGTTCGAGATTCAACAAAATCAGTGTAGTGTTCTTGCAATTACTCTTTGAGATTTAAAAAAGTCATCATGATATTACATAATAACGCTTTTAATCTCCCTAAAATTTTTTTTTAAAAAAATAAGTGTGATACGTTTTGAAAAAGTCAACAGGACATTGTTGCAAGTCTGTTAGTAGTTCATTATAGCTAGAATTCACATTTTTTTTTTTTTTTAAACTGCATATATTTTCGCGTTTTAAAATGCATCAAGAAAAGTTCTTACCAATATAATCACATTTCTGTATTTAGTTATTACCCGATTATTGACTGTAATGTATAATGTGTAACTATTGTGTTAAATTGTTTTCATATGAGCATAGTAAATTATATTGTGACAATTGATCTGCCTGTCCCTATAATTATGGCCAACCTCTGTACATTCTGTTTAACAAGTTTTTCAATTTTTTTCAAGTTGAAAACTTGTTTTTCAAGAGATAAAATACGGTTTTCATTATTTTTTATAATAAAATTTAGTCTTTTGATTTCATCTTCATATCTAGAAGGCTTTACAAAAATATATTCAAAACCTTTTTTATAACAATGTTGACAAATATTTGGATTTTCAATACTTTTTTTACAACTGATGTTTTGATTTCTATATTAAAAATGTCTAGTTTTAGATGTTTGATTTAATTTTTTAGAAATTGATGATATTTTTTGAGAGATTTTAATTAAAATTACAAGATTTATTGAATATTTATATATTTTTAAAGAAATTTAAATTGAAAATAATGAATAGTATTATATTTATAAAATAAAAAAAATTAAATAAATTATAATTTTCTAATGAAACGTTTTAAACTATGAAATTGTGATGAATTTCTATTTTTTCTTGCAAATTCTTCAGATATAGTTTCTTCACCAATATCTAATTCTATTTCTTCATTAAATTCAAAATCATTATCTTCAACAATAGATTCTTTTTATTAAGTAATTCTTGATAGTTTAGTTGAATTTTAAGTTATTCTTCATCAATTTCGTTGTTTTGTTGTATTTGGTTTTGTATTATTATATTTTCTCGAAATTTACCTTTTTTCAATTTTCTTGTATATTGAGAATCATCAGAATTTAAGTCAGAATCGTATGATTCATCAATTAATAATTTTCTTTTTTTACTACTTGTTTCTTCTTGAAAATCTTTAGAATTTAAATCAGAATCATGATTTGATTCATCAATTGATAATTTTTTTTTTTACTACTTGTTTCTTCTTGAGAATCTTTAGAATTTAAATCAGAATCATAATTTGATTCATCAATTGATAATTTTTTTTTTTTACTACTTGTTTCTTCTTGAGAATCTTGAATTGTAATTACTTTATGATCTTTACTTAAAACAACTAATATACGTTTTCCAGAGTCAGATTTTTTAACTTTAGTAATAATTCTATTTGTAATATCATCTAAACTTTCAATTGTTGAGTTTTAATTAATATCATTAATCCACTCTTGCTTTCAATAATATAATCTAGTTTTATTATCTTGATAAATTTCTTCTTCAAATCCTAAATCTAATGTTACTTTTTTAACTTGTTCTAGTGTTGTTCCATAATTGAATTCTATTTCAAAATTTCTATTATTAAAATCTTCTTTATTTCCTTTTTTAAATATTTGTAATATATCTTCATTTTCTTCTTCGTTAATAGGATCTCCTTTAAATTTAATTATATATCGAAATCTTAGAATTGAAGCATCAATATCAGCAGATGAATTTTCTTTTCTTAATTTTTTGTAAAGATTTTAAATTAGTCTGTTTGCTGTAAAACAAATATACATAGCAACTATATTTGTTTTACTGTATTTTACATTTATTTGACAATGTTTTCTGTCTATTAATCTTAATAAATTTGTCCAAAATAAATATCCATAATAATCATCTAATAAAATTGCTATATCTTTATCATAATCGATGTCATGATCATTATATTTTTCCCAAGTTTTCATCTCATCTTTTTCGTATATGCCAGGAAATAAATCTGTACAAATTTTACTTTTTCCAGTTCCTAGATCATTATAAATGTAAAATAAACAAGGTTTCCAATAACGATTTATATTTTTTAAAGGATTTTTCATTTGTTTTTCTCTGGCTTTGGCAATTTCACATAAACCTTGAACTAAATGCCCTTATTTTTTGCACTTTGTTGCATATTTAACAATTACTTTATCAATATCTTCTCCCTCTAAAACTTCTTTAATTGTTTATTGATAACTATTTTCATCTTTATCTTCAGATTTAGATTCTTTTTCAAATTTAGATTCATTATAAATAAATATAAAAGGACTAGCAATTTCTTGATCTTTACTAATACGTGCAAAAGTTTTTACACAATTTTCATTGCAATATTTGCATCTTTTGTTAAGATCAATAAAATCACATTTACATTTTTGACCTTTTTTAGAATTGGGATTATGAGCTGAATCTTTACAATGATTGTAAGATTTACTACAATATGCCAAGCATTCTTTATCTGTATCATTTGCAAATTCAATATGAATATTTACTTCAAAAATCTTTTTAATACCTGATCCTTCTTTGGTTTCAGAATTATAATTTCCAAGACATAATTGACTATTTTATACTCTTGCAAATCCTTAAGCATGATATCTGCCAGGTTCATTAGAATTATGATTTGGTTTAAATTGAAATTTTAAAATAGAAAATGGATATGTTTTTTTGTTAAAAAGTTTTGTAATATGATTTTTAATAGTATCAAGATGTTCATATAAAACAAAATTAAATTTTCTAAATTTAGTATTCGGATTAATATTTTTTGACATATTTTTAAATTACATAATAAAAATTTTACTAGGTACAATATACTTAGTAAACATTAAAGTTTATTTTTTACTAATTATTAAAAAAACTTGTTGGAATTGCTTCTCTTAGTTTTCTTAATCATTACAAAACCAAATAACTTAAAATTTGAAATATAAGGGGTGTGGCGACTTAGTGAAGTTGGTAAGTTGTCACCCCTCCAAATGGCAGGTCTAGAGTTCAAATCCCACTGG